TTACATTTTATTTAGATCGAAAACGACATGGAGAACGATTCCATATTCTCGTACAAGTCGGGCAATGGACGTCGGGCCTCGACCACAAACAACAATAATGCCAATCCAGTCGACATACCCGGAAGTCCCATTGCAGTGCGATCAAAGTAAGCAGCACACCAAATAATAAACATACATTTGTAGTCCAAATCCATGGTCCAAAGAACATCAAGGGTGCTTCTAGCAAAGTCCTCGTTTAAATATTATAGCGATGAAAAGTAGGCAATATCTTAAAGGGCCAACTATGGATTTACCTAAAAAAGTGATAGAATCGTGGAAAAGGCTTTATATTATCGGAAAAAATACCATACTGTATATACCAAATGCTTTATTTCCTTTGTATTTGTGAGTCCACATTTTGATAACACTGGTTTAAAAGAAGTGATTTATTTATTGAGTTTTCTAATGGCGATACTAATTCAATATTTTTGGGATCAGATACGTTAAGCCCAAAAGGGCTTAAGATATATTGGTTTTACACCAAATCCTAAAGTACATTATTTTACTAAGTTTTAACTAGTATACAATGGTAAAATAAAAAATGCTTGCAAACTTTTTCTTCGGCATTGAAAAATACATTTAAAATCACTCATAAATATGATGTTGTACGTATTAATTAAATAATTTAAATTTGTTATACCGAAAACTAATGTATTCCTTATTTCAGCTCTGAAACCGCTGAGCACGAACGCAACCGCGAGCTGCAGAGTGAGCGTCAGGCGACAACGATGTCCGGTAGTGCAATCGCATGAGAATTATTTCTCTGATTTAGTTACATTTTTCTCAAGGACATTTGTTTCGATATGGCACTAGTCAACACCAAACGCAACCAAATAATGTATTTCAACTAGAGAACGAATCGAATCAGCCACTCAAACAGTATTTTTTCTAGAGTACCATCAGCCAGAGATCTTCAAACTAAGTAAACACACGAAAAATCCGAATAATATACCAAAGCAATAATAGTGGAATTTCTATGAACTAGAATATATAAGAAATCTAAACTTTTGAAAGCCGATCGAACGAACAGAATTTGCTAGCTGCTCTAGCTTTTATCGAACTTGATTTTTAAATTATTGTTGATTTTTTGAGTGACTTTTTGTATGTGTTCTTTTGAGGGACATTGTTGCCGCCGCGCCTAAAAAGCTTGCAAATAAAAACACCGTGTAAAAATATACAAAAAAATCAACTTAGCCCTAGCATAAGTCGAACCAGTTATTCTAGTCGATTTCTTAACCTAGACTAGGCCTCGTATTTAGCTACGCAAACGATTGCTACTCAAGAAAATTCGCTGACGATTTGTATAGAGTGTATAAGGGTATTACGCAAATGCACTGATCTTTAAATACTAACTAAAGTAACAAACATGAAAACTAAAGAACTTTTGCATTAACTTAGCGTTGCTGTTTTTTCTAACAAACCAAATCGATATAACTATTTTGCTAGCCAAAAGAAAAACGGAAGAAGCGGAACGGGAAACGCAAACTATTTTTCCTAAATAACAAAATATTTACTAAATAAAACGCGTCAACTTTCGAACTTCAGACATGCATATATGACGATCAAAAGAGTGTTGTGCGGTAGATAAATTCAGCTGATATTGACAGAGCGTAGGAATGATGAAAAACAAGCATGTATAATGTACAAAATATACCGAATAACTAAAAACGGCACAGCACATGGCTACTTAAGCATATACAGCACATTAAAGTAACGACATTAAATACCAGAAACAATATATTTTGCATGGGCATGAAATAAAGCTTTCTTAACCAATACTTGTATAAATCGATTGAGACGAATATATATCTATGTATAGAAGGGATCAGGGATTGTACAAATTGCTGGGTTGCATCAGTGACAAAAAAAACCTAGGAGAGAAATTCAATTGGAGTTTGTATATTTTTTATTGGAAAACTAGTAGAGCAAGCAAGCTGTCCAAGAATGCACAAATCGCAATGCTATCGATGACCTACGATGGTGTTTCTCTCAGTGTAAGAAGCGTTTCGCATGGCAACCCCACAAACAATCACATTGAATCCTTCCCTACCCTACTTTTGAGTGGTTTTCATAGTTTATAGCTTTTTTTTAACACCCAAGCCAATCAGAGTTCTTTTTATAACACATACGATAATTTGAAACTAAAAGACTTAAGAAATCGACAAAAAGCTAATGAAATCCAAACAAAAAACCGTCCATTTATCCACTTAAAGCTAACAACAATGTAGAGGCACCTCAGCAATTTGTGGAATCTACTGGATAAGAGTGTAAGGGAAAAACTGAATAATGTATGTAACATGTAAAAGGATATAGATCTATACTGAAACTGTGTATGACAGCAATATCAAAATAGTCAGATGGGGAGTAGGAAGCGATACTAAAACGTGATTAGAACAAATATTAAACGACAAAATGCGACAAGTTAATAAATGCTTAATGATAAACCAAAGTAACGTCGCGTTAAACATAAATAATATTAAACATACCTATTTAAAAGTATTGAATCAGTACTTGGAAAAATACACGAGGGCAAACTCAAACAAAAATCATGCAATAATATTGAAATGAAATTACTTTCTAGCATTAACTACAATACATCAAATTATTTATCGCTCATCATATTGAAAATACTCAAGAAGAAAACGCATTTAAGCTGAACATACATTCAAAATTAAGCTCACCGACTTGAAGAGATGGCATTCATATATTTATACATGCATATATCATATACACCTCGATCATATTATATTCTGTATTTACTTTCATATACAAGAACAAAGTCCTCCCAGCATACCCAACATATACGAAGTATACATCTATATGCCTCACCTGCATTCGTACATCCATATATATTTACATACAAGCGCATTTAATACGAGTTACATTTCATCACCAAAATTGTATCATAAGAAATGTAAAAATCATATTTTTCACTTGATACTAAAATCAAATAATACTAAACCTAAGCATAACCAAAAAGCTCAGCATACTAAAAATCAATCGCAGCTACAAGGAAAATTAAAACGATAATTGCTTTATAAGGACAACAATCCAAAAAAAAAAACACCTAATACTCAATGCTGCATTATGCCACGCCTACCTTTTTACCTTAACTGAAGCCTATACTAGATGATCTACCAATCTTTCGCGCTCTTTTCAAAAACATAATCACCACCAAACCCAACTAACTCATTTTAACTGCTTCACACTGTGCATAAGCAGCGAACATTTGCGCCGAGATAATTTTATATGCAATGTATACATATTTCTATCTATAGTATATATATACATCCCTATATATATACACGCATTATACACCAAAGCAAGCGCTTTACTTCAGATGCAAATGCAGTGCAATGGAGAATGTTTATTACTCATTACAAAATAAACGATTCGCATACTTATTAAAATACATTTAGAGGGTAATGTTGTGTATTGTACTACGCTTTTTACGTTGTTGTCTTGTTTTCCTCCTGCGTTCCAATATATTATTGTAATATTGTAATTAGTTCTGCAAGTGATTACGGCTAAGTTAAATACTGCATTGTGCGCTTTGTTTTGTATCTTCGGATATAAGTTGAATGATTGTATTTTGTAACTTAATTTTAAGCTTGAGGAATCGCGTCTGAGGTGGGTGAATCGGAGACAGGCCGAGATCAAACCGTAAAAGAGATAAATATTAGAACCAACACGTGTAAGGGAAACAACAAAACCAAAACCAAAACCAAAAAAAAATGAACAAACAAAGTGGCATCTGTTATTAGGTTAAAAGAATTATTGATATTGTTTGCAAGAAAATGTGTGAAATATATATAAATACAAATAAAATACCACTTAGCATAAAAACAAACAGTGAACAGACAAGCAAACAACAACAAATTGTAATTGCAATTTAAAAATAAAATTAATATTTCAAATAATAACAAAGACGTTTTATTGGGTTGCAAAAATAAAGAATTTGATGTAATAATAGCAAAGCACTGTGCTCCATTATGAAAGGTAAACTCTATCTGGCTTACGGGTCGTATGGGTAATTTGTTAATTATTATTATTATTATTATTATGTAATGCTAACTTATAGTTATATTTGTTATATTGTTTCTTTATTTTTGGTTCAACAGAGTTAAACAAATTAATGAGTAACACAATCAAATCGTATTATTTAAGCTATGAGGCCAGGTGTACTTTCTAACTTTGTTTTTAAACTTTAAATATTATTGTAGAAAATAAAAAAAAGATAAAGAAAAAAGAAAATAAAATTCTTAAATTTAATTTAGTAGATAAAGTATCGGATAAAGATACATTAGGAATACTTTAAAGAATTATACTGGATGGCATTTGTTTTATTAACTCAGTTGAGTTGAAAGAGTATATGTTTTGTAATTTTACTCATGGCCTGAATACATAGTAAATTTTTTCATAATAAACATTTGCACTTCACCTCATTTTCATATATAGGTAATTAATTTTTGTTACATTGCGCTTAAAATATTTTAATTATTAATTTAAAATCGAGTATAACAGTATTTCGGCATAAAAATGTTAATTTAAATATTGCTTAGGCCTAGCATCGAAAACAGCTCATATCTCTAACCCCCCACTTTTGAGTGCTTCTCTGCCGATCCATCCCACTGTGCGCCGTGCATCCGCAAAGGATTACGTCACTTGCCGCCATGTCTCTATCGCCACGGAGGCTGACCCTCGGCCATCAGCTGTTCTTACGGGGCGAAGGATGGCTTGGGGCGACCGCGGGGTGGGGGACAGCATGGCAAGGGGGCCAAATGCCGCATGCACTGGCGGCAATCAGCTGTGGAGCTTTGGGCCACTCGGAAAGCTGGCCCATCCGCGGAGCTTCGGAGAGAGCCGGCCGAGAGCTTTGTCTCCGAACGGAAAATAGGAGGCGACATCGAAAAGCAAGCGGCGCACCAGAGACCTTTCGGTGTTCGCCGCGCCTCGTCATCCTGCCTTGCCGATTTTCCGCCTTTCCGAACCGAAAATGCGTGCCAAAGTGCATGAAAAGGAAAACCTGGTCAGTTGAGGTCTCAGTTCGGTTCGGGTTTGCAATTCAACAGCACTGCGGCAGCGGAGAGAATTCGTCGCCACAGCGGAGACGGGCCAAGCGATATAAGCCAGCGTAGTAATATCGACTCCACCGCCCCTCGATATAGTATATATATTATATATCGCATATATGATATTCGCAAGAAAACGGAATCGGAATAAATGCGAAAGTGCCTGACCGCAGTGTGTGGACCGTTTCCCAGAGTGTTGTGTGTTGGGAAATGATTGGAAAACGCGTGGAAATTGCAATGTGCGATTAAGTGTGCATTTGTGTTTTGAATTTTTAACGTTCCCCCCAGCAGTGTTTCCATTTTTTGCAGTGAGTGAGTGAGCGAGTGAGTTATGTAAAGCTCTGGTGTTGTGTTGGGTTCCTTTTGGGGTTCTTGTTGGGTGCGGGAAAGTGACCAGCACCAACAGCACCACCACCACCACCACAACAACAACAATGGCCACTTTCAACTGCAACAACAACTAGAACAACAAAAACAACAACGGCGAGCGTGTGAAGCGACAATAAGCGTTGCAAGATTGAGTGGCTTAAAAAAAGTGGTTATTAAAAATTAACGGCGAGAGTATTAGGATGCAAAAGTGGGATTTCAAACGAAGATTGTGTTGGCGTTGGAAATTAAGTATACGCACCCAAGGATTACTGTTAATATATGCATAATCTTAAAAACTTGAAAATTTTTAGGTTGAGTGGCGTGTTAAGCGTTAATGAATCTTGGGTGACAGAAAAAACTATTAATTAAAAATTAAAAGCAAGGGAATTCAGAAAATAATAATAAAATAACACGATTTGAGGAACGTACTGAACAGCCATAAAATCTTATACGATATAAGTGTAAAAGTGAAATAGGAACTAAACACTAATAAAAAGCAGCAACTGTTAAAATACAAAAATACTATTAAGAAAGAGAGTTATTTTCATTACATTTGCAAGGAAAAAATAAAATTAGGTAACTTTCCACATCAAAAAACATATACTATGAAAGAACATTTTTTTTAGAAAATTTGTCTGTTGTTCGATTGTATTTTTTGAAAATCCTTTTTTCGAACTTTTTTACCAAGTAAATCATGGAACTTTTTATGATTAACATACTAGATTTCATAATATATGCAAGGTTGAACTTATTTCCATGATCTTATGTTAACCGAATGTAAACATACTAGACCTCTTCATAATCCAACAACTTAACAGCCCTAAGCCAGCCAAAGTTTACATAAAACCCAAAGTTTTCGCCCCACCCCGCGTGGGTAAATCAATCAAAACTCATTTACAGGCGCCTCAATCCCCCGCAATCAGCCCATTGAGTGAGCTATATCATAACACAATCAGTTTGGGTATCGGCATCAATTACCAATTATAACCTGACAATAAAATCGCCAAGTGTCCGCATAAAGAGCCCAAAAGCCACACACACACTTGCCAATCAATTCGCTTTTAGCGGTCTCTCTCCGACTATTTTTAGTTGCACTTGCTTTCTGTTTTTTGTTTTTGTTTTTATTTTTATTATTTTTTTTTACTTTGCTCAATATTAGTGTCAAGGTGCAGCCAGTGCATAGAGCGAATGAGACGAGGATAGCGTCTCAGAGAGAGACGGCAACAGTCGGGCTAAAAGAACAAGTCAAGAAAACGCAAAAGAAGGCCCGAAAAGGGGCCAGAAGGGGAACCCCCTTTTCTTGGCGGCGGCGACGACATCGCGAGAAAGCAACACACGAAAAGGTGGCTATCAAAAAATAATAACAAAAACAACAGCTGGGCAGGGGCGGCGGTGCATTAGGGGGTGGCAAGGGGGCCCCCCTTCTAGACTTGTCACATCGAACAGAAAGAAATTGAATTTATGTCTTGGGTGGGTTGCCTTCAATGACAATTAGGCTGCTAAAACCGCAGGTCTCTATATATGCCACCGCTAACGGTAAAGCTATACCTATAGCTATAGCTACGGCTAACGGTAACGTAACGGAACCGAGGCGCGTGTTTCGCTCGGAAGGTAAATCGCGTTAGCAACAACAGCAAGAACAACAAGGATACGCAGGGCTCAGCTTTCAGGCGGCGACCCACATTACTTAAATTACAAACTACACGCAAAGTCGCCGAAAGCCCACACACAACTGGGAAAAGTCACACACGCTGGTTAGTCATTCCGTCATTCCTTCATTCCGACACTCCGTCGTTTCGTCATTCCGTCAGTCAGTTAGTCAGCCGGTCCGTCCATCAGTCCGCCAGTCGTTCCTCCAGTCAGTCAGTCAATCATTAGCCGAAATGCCTTATGAGTCAGCCAGTATGTGACCTACACTCGAAGGAAAATCTGGTATCGCAATTAAAGAAAGTTTAAAATTACATCTCTTAGGGGGTATTTTATAAAAATATTTTAAGGAAATATCGAAGGAAAATCTGGTATCGCAATTAAAGAAAGTTTAAAATTACATCTCTTAGGGGGTATTTTATAAAAATATTTTAATAAAGGATTACTAAATGGAGAAAAGGTAGAAAATTGGGAGTAACGAAAGGATTTTTGAAGTCCTTCATTTAGAGGTAAACGAAACTTTACAAATTTAGACCAGTATTCATGCTAGCCAAATCTCTCCCAAACTTAAAACCAATCCCATATTACTGTACTCAGAAAAAATCAAGTATTTTGTACTTGAACCAAGTATTTTCAGTGTCGAAACTTAGACAAGCGTGGTAAATCCCAATCTCGAGAAGAAAAATACATCTTTCAAGAACAAATTTTTAAGACAGAAAAGTCTCAATTTCAGAACCTTTCGCTCTACAATCAAGTATGAATTACTCTTAAATCTAGTCCTATTCGTACTTTGTATTTGCATTTTATGCGCCTTAAATACTGAGTACTGAATTTTTAGATTTGATAGTTATTTAATTCCAAAGTTTTTTAAATTTAAGACCTTTTCAGTTGGTATGCTAAGCATGAAATCGTTGTAAGAGCAAGACTGAACTTAATCTTAGCGCGGTGATGATAAATTTTAATTAACACCGAAAGTATCGAAGTCATTTTTTCATGATATTATATCATATATAATTTTATTAAAATTATGTTAATATAGACAGAAGGAAATCAGGTGTCTTAACGTAGTAAATTAATAGTTATTTTTCATTACAGTTTTATTTAATGTAACGAAATGAAAATGTGGTATGGCCTAATAAGTTTATTTAAATTTTAAAGTGAATCCTTGTTTTTATAGTACTAAACTAAAATATATGTTTTTATTTGGGAAAACATTGTATTGCACCATTCCTATTAAAATTTATTGCTTATAATCATAAGTAAAACTTTGAAATCAGACCAAGGAATTGTACCATTTTATCTTGACTTGTTTTACATAACAAAATCTGATCTAGGCTCAAAAATCAGACTAATTATATACCTATTTTTCCTCGTGTTAAGTGCTCGTCCTCGAACATTGCGTGCTCTTGGGTGGAGCCTCCACCGAAGAAAGTGGACATGGGATATGGGATATGGGGCGGTGCGAGATGGCGGGGCAGGAAGACATGTTGCATATTTCGGGGCGTGTTTGGCTGCTAGACAAAAATGTCGTTTTCAACGAAATACCCGGCATTCCAACGCCGTGTTAAGGACAGACATTGAAACAGGGGCATTTGTCTGACCGCCACCCTCGCAGTAATGAGATGAAAAACACCGAAATATACTCAGCATTTGTGTACCGACTAGCGGGCGAATTTGTTTTTACAAAAAACACAATTAAATTAGATTTAGTGTTCCTTGTTTTTTGGCTTGTTAAATGCCGAACCATCAGACTTTCACATGGTATTTTTGCTCGGTTTTGCTTTGGTCCGATGCTTCGCATTTTTGGCTTTCTCTTTTCGGTGCTTTGGTTTATTTTTAACATTTTTCCTCAGAGCGTGTGAAAAATTCCCCCACCTTTGTTACATTGTCTGCCACAAATGATGCAAAATAAATGGATGATAAGGCTGAGACAGATGGTAAATTATGATCTCTTCCTTATGGCGACCTTCCTTATGACGATCCCCCTAATAAATTTCCAAAAACTGCACTATAAACGCGATGAAGCGTAAAAATAGTTTGGCTACGGCAAACGTTTTGTCGTAATTACTTTGAGATGCATTGCGAATTGAATTCGCAGCCAAACGGGTTATTTTTGTTTAATATCATTTTATTTAAGCGCACCATTTTCCCGCGAATACGCCGGGCAATAATCGAGTGCATAAATAAATAAAAATAGTTCATTGAGGCAGAAGACAAACACGATTTTTACAGCCTTTGCCGTGCTCACATATTTATTCACATACAAGGAGGAATGTAAATATATATGTCAGTGTAGAAAGTGTAGGGAATTATTTATTAATGAATCGCTGGGAAAAGGCGAGTGTACAAATGATGGGTGCATGGATATACTAAGGTGGTTCAGTAGCAACAAAATGAATAATAGAATAATGTTTTGCCACTGGGTATTCTAGGTAATTATTGGCTAGAAGAATTGTACGAAACAAATATAGGTACATTTTACGGTTTTAGAAACGTTAGCTAGGTTTTCAAGATTTTCCTTTTTTTTTAATAAATAAAGAATCTCCAATGCAATAATTTTATTTCATGTTAGTACTTGCTGATGAGTTCGTTTTAAATTGCTTTTATCGCACTGAAACAAATAAAACATTTTAATATTATTTTTTATTTATTAGTCTATGGTATTAGTACAATATATCTCTTTTCTTTGTCAGTTTAAGCTTTCAAAAAATGGATATTTCCAACTCTTACTATTCTGCCAACGCCACGGGAATAAGCCATCTTTTAAAAAGTTCCCGATCACTTCTTGCAATCTTGTAAAGCACAGATCTCCGAACTTCATCTCGTGCTCAGAGTTTAACCTAGTTTAAAAAAACTTCAGCTGCATTCGACCTCTTCAACTCCACCAGATCCCATTATAAATTTCCCCAAGACGTTGCCTGTCGCTGCCAAAGACTTTTATCAGGGCCCCAGCTTTACATCACTTTCCATAAGTTTCCACCTCAAGGCAAGTGTTTCCCCGGCTTTCTCCGCTTTCTCCGCCAGCTAACTGCTTGGCAAATTGCTGCCACTTACGTAAGCAGCTCGGCCATCACTTACTCAAAAGAAAACACAAAAAAGTTTTTCGGCCAAAAAGTGGCGCCAAATGAGCAACTGAGTGTAGGTAGGAAAAAAAAATCAGAACACACAAAACTTTAGCATACATCACAGGGCAGTTAAGACCTCAAAGTAAACAAAACAATCGTAAAAGATGAGTGCGAATGGGGGAACACAACAAAGAGGGAGAATCGTAAAAAAAAGGAAAAGAAATAAAGCAAATCACAGGGCCAAACATAAAGCGTCAAAAGTTGGCCAAAATAAGGCGAAATAAAATAAAACTGGGGCTTCTTGTTGTTGTTGTTCGTGGGGTGGCTTCAAAGGACCTAACGCTCCAACACCAGTGCAAAATCAAAAGAAAAACACCGAAAAAAAAGAGAAATATACATTTCAAAGTGTCGTACGTTGTCGGGTGTGCGCGAGTGTGAGTGCGAAATCCTGTGTGTGTCGCTCGTCAGGCGATGCCATGCGTGTCCTTGCAACTTTCGCCCCTCTCGCTCACTCACCCACCACCCCCCGCGCACCCACCACCCCCTCTAAATCTGCGGCCCTCTCGCTCGCTCCCACAGCCCACAGCCAGCGGCAATTGCACATAAGTTGCAACAAGCAAAGTAACAACAACAACGACAGCAAGAAAAAAACGCAACCAAAAAGGTAGAAAAACAAACAACGCAACATTGTAAGCGGGCTGAAAGGCGTTGCCAGATTGTTGGCCAACAACAGCAGCAACAACAACCACAACAATAGCCCAAAGGGCCAAATGAACGTTGTTGGCTAGTCCGTCTGTCGCCCGCTTGGTGGCGCTAGCGAGCTGAACAACCCCAAAACAACTACAACTACAACTACTGCTACTAGTGGAAATCCTGTCGCTAATTAGGTAAGTCACTGCCATTCGGCCGCAAGGAGTGTGTCCTTTGTGGTCAGGAGGTGGCGGGCATATTATTTCATTTCGGGGCCGGGCTGTAATTATGGCAATTTGCGTCAGCCGCGAGTGCACTAAATGTTACACATACGCCACGTGGCCACCAGTTTATTTTAATTCTTAATCACATATTATTCTTGCCTCTCTCCGCGATGATTATGATGTAACGAAAGGATAACTGATTATGTGATCATGCTTTGGTATAAATTAGTATTACTTATATGTCGATCAAGGGGAACAGAGTATGTAGTCTTTATATAAACTGAGAACTGTTATAGTTTATCATTACAATATACAATATATTATTATTATTAAATCTGAATTAAATAGATATTCCTAAATAAATTATTATTCCACATATTCTTTCAAAAAGGATATCAAACATAAACCCCGCTTAACGAAGTAAAATTCTAGTTACGATCGCACCTTCAACAAACAAAAGTTCTGATATCAACTTTTGTGACGAAAATGTAATATAGGATCTACTAAAATAAATACTCTTTCTAAATTTTTTCATTCGAATACAGTACTTGTGCATTAATCCCCAGCGGCCCCAACAGATCAAATTTTATAAATTTTCACTTTTACACTTTCGCCGTCTTTCTCCCAACTTATTAGAATTTGTTTAAAGTCTTGGTATGCAATTCTTTTAGTTTTTGCGTTACCTTTCGATTAATGTATCACTCGTTACGATCGGACTATCACATTAGATTTTAATTTTTTCGTGTAGTTCGTCACCTTCGCACACTCTTCCGGTGCGCTTCGTCACTACGTGGACTGCCGTCCACAGTGATTGTAATTTCAAAAAATTTTATAATTTGAGGTTTTTTAAAATTTATAAGCAACTAACGCTGTTTTATAATAACCGAATCGTGTGCCAACCATTTTTTCGATGTTTTACTTCTGATAATTAAAATCTTAGAAAAACATTTTTCAAACATTTAAAGAAGAAAAAGAAAGTTTAACAAAGTTTTTCCTCGATGGTCCAATGTTCATATGCTTCAGATATGTACAATTCTACAGCTTAAGTTCGTTTTTCCATCATTTATTTGCCTCCGGCAGTCAATCGATGTTCCGGGCAAATCGAAAAAAACTTTGCAGGCAATTTTTCTTCATTTTGGAAAAACCGCGTTGCGCCAAATTGAATTTCCTGGCTAAACTGCATCGAGGGAACTGAGGGGTCACATAATCATACACGCAGGTGAAATGACGCTGCAATGTTTGGCTTTCATTTCGTGTTGAATAGAATCATCCACTGCATAAAAGCTAGATGATAAACAGCATTCAATGATTTTAAATTTGGTGTTCTATATTTTTTGGGGCTTTCAGCCGTCAATAGAGATTCACCCCCACTCCGATAAATACACTGTTTCATGGGCATCATTCCTTTGCTTCTCGTTTCTTTGCAATTTTCCAATTTCACCTTTTTCTTAACGAATGTATAAATTCTCGTTTGCTGTGGCCTGAAATGACAGCAATTCCTGTTTTTTTGTTAAGCGTTTGGGCAATTGGGTTTATTATTCCGAAAACCGTGTGGAAATTGGATAAAGGAATAGCGGGGGATAGAAATAAAAATATTTTTCGTTGATGAAAATTGCTTAAAAAATAGATTTCATTTCTAGTTTGCACTGTTTGCTTTGTATGACAAAAATGTTGCATGCTCCCGCTGACTTATGCGTAATACCTCTGGAAACCGTATTCCACAAGGTATGCTAGGTATTCGTAACTGATTGTACATTTCTGACCTACATACAGGTAGAGGTAACTGAAAGCCAAAAACATTAAACACTGAGCCTGGGGAAAAGCGAAGGCGGTGTCCTGGCCAAATGGAAAATCAACAGCAGAGAGAAAGAAAAGGCCAGCAGGCAAATAAGAGGAGATTCTCGGGCTAACTGGCTTCTCTTTTTCTGGGATCAGGCCGACAATTGAAAGGCCCCAAGCAGAGCCAACTAGCTTGGCCTTTCCCCAGCTCGGTTGCCACAATGGAGCTCTATTCTGCTGCCCCTCGCTGTACGCTTTCAGCCTTCGCGTTGGCCATTCCTTTGTTGTCATAACTGGACGAACATCACGGCCAGAGCTGGCAACTTGGCCAATTTGTGGTCAAAGTCGATGTCTAAAAATTAAGTTTAAAAAGCTTGGTATAATTAATAAAAATTGTGTGTTATATAGATAAAATACACAGACAGAATTCTGATGATCTGATCTAAGTTTAAAATGTTCTTAAAAAAATAACAAAATTTTTAATGCTAAAAATATTACTATTGTGCTTAAATGAAGTTGAACTGGCGGTATTTACATTGTATATCTACAACTAAGCTTTTAGTCCAGTCAGTAGTGCATACTTATTAAAAAGTTGTTAAATAAATTCAATGTAACTTTCTTCTTCTCACCATTTTGTTCTAACATTGAGAACATTAATACCAAAATGTACTTCCACTGTTTTTAAGAACGAACGTTCTCAATTTAAGAACAATGTACTTGAATATTTCTTTATGTATAAATTTTTTTCTCTTCAACATAAATATTTACAGAATTAGAAAAAAAAATATAATCCTTTTAAGCAAAAAAATATACAGAATTTTGAATTAAAATTATGGTTGTTAGAATTAACTAAAAAAATTCCACTAAATTGGTATACAAATGGGTATTATTATTCTAAGAAATTACAAATTGTTTCAAACAAAAGCGTTGTATATTTTTGGTATATAGATCTAGAAAGATAAATTTCTAATCTGTGAAATCTTCACTTTATAATGGAAAATCAACTTAAAAGAATAAATGTTTTTTTTTATACTAAAGATATATAGAAAAAAGCCTACATTTAAGCCATGATTCCGATGTATCCAATCACTACGGACAGCACTAACCTTTAGCCGTAAAGCTGCGGGGCCTGGAAAACGGGCTCATCCTGTTGGCGGACTATCTGCCAAGTTATTGGCCCTGATGTGGCGGCTGCATGTGTTATCCTTTTTATGTTTGGACAGCCGCAGCGGCAGGAAAACTGCACTTGTGCAACAACTATCTGCCCCGTCCCTCTCCCCCTGGCTCCCCTCTTCCCCAAGCCCATTGTGTGCACTCAATTTAGCCATTTCTTGCAATTCGGCGTTTTCTTTTGGGGCGGGGCTGGAAGCTGCGGTGAATCCCCCTCGGCACCGCAGCCAGAACAAATTTAATCTATTCTGAAAGTTTTCCATGTGCGCCAAGGGAGCTGCAAGTGTTCGTGGGCTGCGGGCTTTTCGGGGCTTTCGTCTTGCCGAACTGGCTGCCAGAAGATGTGACAGCAACTAATTAAGTCAGTCGGGAAATTGCACTCGACATTTTCCGAGGTGAAAGCGGCGAAAGTGTCGGGTGAATTGGTGTGAGAGAGTCGAGAGATTCGCACCCGGAAAGTGGTTGCATTAACCTTTTTGGCATGGCAAGACTCCAATGAATTGCTGTAAAGAAGCGGAATGGAATTAGGGTCGATTTGATTTGATTTTGATGCAATTATACACCCACTGAATACCTATAGAAGATCAAATACAGGGGCCTTTAAAAGCTAAGGGCCTTATGACACTTGCTTGAAGTCGTGGCCATCTATACAGAAAGGGGTCTACAGCTTAATAGCAATTTATGCATAGATATATAAAATCATGTTTAGGTTGCCTTGTTTTTATAAAAGAAATCCACTGAGTCTCCAAAAGTTAATTTTAAAACCAAAATCAATTAGAAACCATTCAAAATCGTATAGAATAACAATTTTATTATATAAATCTAATAGTAAAAATTCTTTTGAAACTGTATTGTACTCGAAGAATGTAACATATTAAAGTCCTTCTATGTATGTTTACATAGGTATTTATGATTAAAATGAACTGGCTAAGATACAAAGCTCTTCATGCCCAACGGTTAGATATAATTTTTCCCATGCGCTCACCTTTCTAACCAATTGATTGTTCGGCGAAACCAATTCCGGTTATGTTCTATCGCATTACGCATGCAACCCCGTGGCTTAGTGTCAAATTATCAGCTACTTATTATTATTACAGTTATTAGACCCGCTTTTCGCCTCCCCGCCGGCCTTCGGGGGCCCAATCAATGTCAGCTGTTGTCATTGTTAGCATTTTATTTGCCCTCTTGTTGGCTGGTTTTTTGTCCGCTTATGTAAACCCTGGAAAGCAGACAAAAGCCTGCCAAATAGCGCAAAATGTGCGCCAATTTAGTTGTCGTTTAATTTGATGGCACAGCCGATTTGGCAGGCAAAACGGCAGTAGAGGATTAGGCCGGAGCAATGGTGGCCACGTCATGAATGACTGACCAGCGAATGCCAAGCGGAAAAATTGCTGAGGAAAGCGGTAGCTCAAAGGGTCCAAAAAAGGAAAAAATGCACGAAAAGGGGAAGCTCCCCATCGAAGGTTGAGCGGCAGCAGGACGAAAATAAAAGTGACCAGCAATAAAATGCTAAAAGGAACCTCCAAGTACATACTTACATACAAAGTAGAAGGACGGGACGGAAATAAAGCGTACAGTCCAACTTCCATAACTCAATCCGGTCTCAGGGCTTAGTTCGTCAGTTATATCACATTCAAAGGTTCTTTATAAATTTTTGTAATTTGCCTAAAATAAGTTGTAGTCTATTTTTGAATCTGACTAGACGTTAGTATTTCCGTTCAATAAATAATATTTCTTTTGTAGCGTTAACTTTTTAGGATTTGGTTAGATTGTGTAGCAACATTTGTTATTTAAGGTATTTACGGAAATAAAGTGTTCAGTCCAACTTCCATAACTCAATCCATGGTCTTAGGGCTTAGTTCGTGAATTATATCATCTTCAACGGTTTTTTATAATTATTTGTAATTTGCTCACAATAATGTATTATCTATTTTTGAAACTGATAAGACTTTACTGTTTATTTTAAATAAATAATATTCTTTTGTAGCGTTAGATTTTATAGCAGCATTTGGAATTTGTGGTAC